GGTGGTGATTGTGATGTAAACAAACGCTCTGCTGACGAACGCGCTTTCGCAAACATTTTTCTCAAAACCAGTTACAAATACAACGTCGCGTTCTTACGTGATCTTGTATTTTTGGTTCATGCATCACACGAACCATCGAAACCAAAGAACGTAAATCTATAGATTAATAGTGATATTCATCTAAACCGATAACTTTATCAAGCAGATAATCTTATAAGTTTACGCACTCTGTTACATGAACGACCCACACTATCTTTTCGTTTACACATGCGACAATAGTCGTGTTTTCTTTGGTTATAGAGCTCAGTATCACTAACTTTATACTACTAGTACGAGGATAAAGAAATTTTAAAAACTAACTCACTAAATGTGAAAGAATTATATTTACGAGATAATATCTGTTTAAATAAATATACATATAACATAAAGGCTATTTATTTGAAGAAAGTTAGAAGAAACAAAGGCAGAATATCTGTTTGTGTTTGAATTCATTTGTCACGGCTACCAAACTTTGCGGCCAAATTATCAGTGAAACAAAACAAACAGAACGGATAATAATTGAACCAGATCTCTATCAGGATCATATCGTTGTTGTTGAATTTGCGTGCAAAATTTGTATGCGGATCCCGATTATTGCCGAAGAAAACATAGCTAGAGTTGCGACAGAGTTGCATTGGCTTCAGTTTATCAAGTTTATTAAGTGAAATCGCTGGAGAAATTTATCAGAAATGTGTAAACGAGTCTCCATACAAATTTTGACAGTTCATTTATAAGGTTTACACAATTATAAGGTTATACGGTTTACAATGCATTTATAAGGTTTTATGAATACCCTTAATGTTCTTTGTCGAAAATATTCTTTCCTACATATGCATACATGTACATATTAGGGATGTTTCGAACCATGATTCAATAATAAAAGGTTTGCTCAGAAAAGTTTGATCGCTTCCTCTTTACAAAATCGGCTCCCTTGGTGTGTGGGTGCGTGCGTGTGTGCAACCTTTTGTAAAGGCCCGTCCACATAGAACTTTGGCGANTTAACTCTTCTTTACTTGAATAAAAGTGTAAAATGGTGGTGATTGTGATGTAAACAAACGCTCTGCTGACGAACGCGCTTTCGCAAACATTTTTCTCAAAACCAGTTACAAATACAACGTCGCGTTCTTACGTGATCTTGTATTTTTGGTTCATGCATCACACGAACCATCGAAACCAAAGAACGTAAATCTATAGATTAATAGTGATATTCATCTAAACCGATAACTTTATCAAGCAGATAATCTTATAAGTTTACGCACTCTGTTACATGAACGACCCACACTATCTTTTCGTTTACACATGCGACAATAGTCGTGTTTTCTTTGGTTATAGAGCTCAGTATCACTAACTTTATACTACTAGTACGAGGATAAAGAAATTTTAAAAACTAACTCACTAAATGTGAAAGAATTATATTTACGAGATAATATCTGTTTAAATAAATATACATATAACATAAAGGCTATTTATTTGAAGAAAGTTAGAAGAAACAAAGGCAGAATATCTGTTTGTGTTTGAATTCATTTGTCACGGCTACCAAACTTTGCGGCCAAATTATCAGTGAAACAAAACAAACAGAACGGATAATAATTGAACCAGATCTCTATCAGGATCATATCGTTGTTGTTGAATTTGCGTGCAAAATTTGTATGCGGATCCCGATTATTGCCGAAGAAAACATAGCTAGAGTTGCGACAGAGTTGCATTGGCTTCAGTTTATCAAGTTTATTAAGTGAAATCGCTGGAGAAATTTATCAGAAATGTGTAAACGAGTCTCCATACAAATTTTGACAGTTCATTTATAAGGTTTACACAATTATAAGGTTATACGGTTTACAATGCATTTATAAGGTTTTATGAATACCCTTAATGTTCTTTGTCGAAAATATTCTTTCCTACATATGCATACATGTACATATTAGGGATGTTTCGAACCATGATTCAATAATAAAAGGTTTGCTCAGAAAAGTTTGATCGCTTCCTCTTTACAAAATCGGCTCCCTTGGTGTGTGGGTGCGTGCGTGTGTGCAACCTTTTGTAAAGGCCCGTCCACATAGAACTTTGGCGATGCGTTGGCGTCGCTTCAACAGCTGACTATGAATACATGAATTCAAATGCAGCCGGCCACATAGCCAAAATTCGACATGTTGCAAAAAAATAAAATTATGTGAAATATTTCTTCTTTTCAATCAAGTGCGGACAAGAAATATCGTTTTTAATGGAATTATTTTATGAAATATTATTTTATCTGTCGTTAGTATGTTAATTTAGTGGCCCAAGCATTCGCTGACAAGCGTTCGTTGTAGCCAGCATATTTTTAACGTCCGTTCTGTCAACCCAACGCCAACGCCAAAGCCAAAGCATAAGTTCTATGTGAACCGACCTTAAGGGAGTTTAGCGAGTGTCAAAACTCGAATGTCACTAATGGTCCGAACACAGTGAAAACGACGAGCTACGGCCACACCTGTAAAATTATTTTAACACATACTCTTATATAAGATATATGTATATAATCATTTTTGCGACGACCGGGCTACACCACTGCTGTGGTTGTGGCCAGATTAGATCTATTTCTATTTTTCCGGCGATAGACAAGGTTCTTCCTCTTCTTTTATGCCAAACTCATACAAATTCATGATTTCGTTGCCGCGTTCAAAAAAATCATGTCGTCATCGACAAAGTGTTTAGATAATGAAGATAACAAATTGGAAGTTGTAGCCCGTTGCTCGTCGTTTTCAATGTTTAATTATTGAATCATGGTTTCGAACGTCATATTTTTCACATTCGCGAATGCGAATGATAGGAAAAAAAGCTATAATCAACTTAAATCATCGTTTTTATTACTTAAAAATTTTGTAAATTATTAGAACACTGAACGAGTGCTTAACCTATATAGTGTTTTAATCTAGTAGTCTAAGTTCAAAAGGGGTATAGTATAGTAGGTTTAGTAGTCTAAGTTCAAAAGGGGTATATTATATTTCAAAAAAAGTAATTTGCTACCTTTTCTCCCATGAGGCGATTTTTTAGGGTATCGTATATAAGGCCGGCTGCACTGAACAATTGCTGTTGTGGTAGCAGCATACAAGTTCCTCAAAGAGTTTTTGGGGAGTGTTGCTGGAGTGACAGTCCTTGGCCAAATATAAATCTGGGTCGTTCTTGGAACGCTGGCGGGTGGAGCGCTCAAATATTTGCGGACCATATCTGTCAACTTGTCGTATTGTAGTTTAGTTTTCCGTCAATCGAGAGGATTTTCACCGAGACGAGCTCGTTTTTCTTTAAGATAGGCCTTCAATTGAGCTTTAATTTCAAATTTTTTAATGTCTCCAGATTCTACATCCGAGCCTGCGCTTTCACTGGAGCAATCTAAAATTATTTCCAGGTTGCTTAAATATAAGTACTTGTTGAAGGCCCATCAATATTGCTTGATAAACTAATTAACCGTTTAGCGCCTGAACCTAGGTATTGTACGCACCATGTAGCTCGTTTCTGTAACAATTATCTACCAAGGCGAATTCATATACGAATACATTTCTTTTTCATTTGGTAGGTCGGTCGGCAAAGTACCAAAATTTTATATTTGGCTTCTGTTGAGCTAATAAACCCCCTATTAATTTTTCTTTAACATCCATTATGTACAGATATCGGCCTGTTGCAATTTTATTATTCTCAAATACTCTCGTTTGATACCCATATGGCAACACTTAGTTTATATTATAAATTTAACTGAATTAAAGTTTTCAAACCCGCTTCAAGAATATTTTCAAAAGTAAGCTTCCAAATCCTCTTTAGTTTAATATTCGTATTGCAATATTTCATTTATTTTACAAATCGACTGTTGAACTTACTGAGTTTTTTCCAATACTCCTCATTTTCAGAATATCAAAGTATTTACAGGAGCTGAAATGTGCCGAAAAACCATGATTTTTGTACTTTTAGGATAGAATATCTCCAAAACCTGACGTGATTGGGCTATTCTGGGGTCAGATTTGAATTCAGCACGTCAAAAACCTTCGAAAAACTATAGTCCGATTCTTGGTGAGAAAACCTTGTTGGCCTGTGTTATTTGTTTTCTTTAAATACGGTGTTCAATTGTAATACTAATTAGTATATTTTTTTTAAATACAAAAGGTATTTTTTCGTTTAACTGTGTTTGTTGTGGGGGTTAAATCACCTTTACAATGATATAAATATTTTAAAAATCAGTTCAAAATTTTCTTGAAATATTAAGTTTTTAATTTTTCGAAGAACTGACCTTTGACCCGTTATAGCACCTGTAATATAAGTTTTCACATAAAAAGTTATTTACCATATAAATAAGAGCAAAAGGCGGAAAGTTGGTTTGGTCCAATACCCAGCCGAGTGCTGCACAGTGTAATTACTTTTTAAGGAAAAAGCACTTGGGCAATGATATATGTGAAGATTACTTGGAAACAATATACGCATATCCACACATATTGTTACGATTATCCTCGAAACCTTGAGGGATTACCCAAATATACTCGGGCTCGTATCGCTGGATTGTTAAATAAATGCTAACGATGACCGAATTGTAATACAATTAACTTTATTGTACAAAAAACAATTTACAATTCTTGCTAATACAGTAAAAACACTTTACAATACTTGTTAAAGCAATAACAACGCTTTACTACTTGTTAACACAATTAAACTTATAGCTTGCTTATTCGCAACTCGATTCTCCGCTCACTTTACTTGTAGCTTGCTGACTTGTAACTCTCTCACCTCGTGGTGGCGGCGCCCTTATATACCTGCGCTGGCACTTATGGCAACTCTAGAACATTCTGAAGTTTATCGCTCATTCTCTTTCTCTCGCTGTTCGCAGTGTTCATCCAACTTGACGTTTCTCTTTGTGGAACATTCTACGTCATTCTTCGAACATTCTGCCTATTTCTCGTTGTTCGCTTTGTGTTGCCGCAGTATTCGCCACAATATATTCTTACCTGATACAAGATCCATGAGAATTTGTATGCCATCTTGGTAAAGATTTGGACTTCCGAAATTCGGCCCGCCTGATCAGATTGAACTGCACGCATTAGTTGCGTTCCAGATGCTTCACGATATTCAAGATTTGCATGAAAAGGTGTTTTCTTCATTAATAAACTATGGAAGGTGGTCACCTGGAACGGCTTCCTGTAAAAACCTGCAAATCGTGAAGCATCTGGAAACCAACTATTAATATATCCTTGCCCAAGACGTTTGCACTATTTTCAACAACCACTTTAACAAGCTTTCGCTAAGGCTTGCAATTTATGTAAATATTTCTGCGACACACTCACACGATACACTTGCAATTTATAAATAAAAATATAATTATATCAAATACATACACTGAAAATTTTTGGAAAATAAAGCCGAATGCTTAAATATGTTTTAACTATAAAATTTTGGGACAATCCTGAGAAATTGTCAACGTGACGTAAACAGTAAACAAAGGCGACCAGCTGTTTGATATGAGTTGTAATGTTGCCAGATGTGCGATGATTACTGCTTACTTGATTGTCTTTGCCAGATGTAAAAATGTTATGTTGCACCCAAGCATTTGGCTTACGTTAAGTCAAGATGCGTAATTAAAACCACAGTATATACAGTAATCACAGTATATATAGTAATAAACCTTTTTGAGTACTCCTCGGGGGTAAAATCTGATCAGGGTTGATATTGATAAGGAGAATGAAATTTGTTGATTCAGAGTTATATACAAAATTTCTGTGGTATGAAAGGGAGCAACAACCTTGCTATGACAGAGTGGCACATGCCATGACTGTATAATAGAGACCGAAATTAATTTCACAAGTGTAAAAAATTGGAAATTATTCTCTATTACTATAGATACTAATACAGATCATTATAGTTCAGTGTGTAACTGGTTATATTTTACCATAAATGATAATGATCTGTTAAATACTGACAACGCTAATACCTAAACCAAATTTAAAAGTTGCGTTCCAGATTCCTCACAATTTGCAGGTTTTACAGGATTTGCAGGAAAAGCTGCTTTCTCTTAGTGAATTTCATACAGAATACGGCTTGTAGCCAGAGGCAGTGGCATGTAAGACTCATTTAAATCCACTTATCATGTTGGAGCAGCTCCGGGTAATGGACCATTGAATGTGGCTGAAGTTATGGCCACCATAACCAACGGAGTCTCCACGCAAACGCATGCCCTGAATTTATACGGTAGCAATTCATAGCAATTACTATGGTATGTATGTGTTATTCATATTTGTGACATTCTATACTATGATCAAATCGATATTAATTATTTCTGAGGAGCTCCGGGTAATGGTCTTGACAGTTGCGCTGGCAGGAATTTGAGTCTCTATAACTACACAAAAATCGTTTTTTTTTAATAAAAACTTAAATATATTCGGAATTTAAGAATTTTACTTGATATATTCTGAAAATAACGCAAAAATCACTTTTTTTCATAAAAATATAATCTTACAATGGATATTTCTTTAATTTTAAATTTACATTTAAGAAAACTCCATTCAGTACAATAACTTCGATTTCAGTTTTTCAGTTTATAGAAACACAAGCGTTAATTATGTTCTTAACAATTGATATTGTTCTTAATTAGGCATTGATATCACACTTCACCTATATTTTGTTCATAAATAACACATAATATCATATATTTTATCCTCGAAAAGAACTTTTTCTAATCATGAGGCGAAACTCCCCACAGTTAGTGTCGCCTTGCGTGCAAAACGAAAACGCTGCACACAACCCCAAAGTACCCCTCGGGGACCAATTGGTGAAAATCTTCGAAAAGGTTTATTACTGTATATACTGTGACCAGTGTTGCCATTTTAGTCGTTTTCCGGCTAGATTTAGCCGGTTGCGATAGCAAACAGCCGGACAAATTTCGATTTAGCCGGCAGCCGTTTTGCAGAAAAAAATGAGCCGTTTTTAGCCGATTTTGCTATTTGCCTTGTTTTCTTAAATTTCAAATATGTATATATGTTTCCATTTTTGACTAAGCGACCCAAAATCTGTTAGAAATGGCTACTAGCCTAATTTTCATGACAGGCAGGGTTGTAATCCAACGTAGAATTACTCTTGCCAACAAGTGCTACTTTGGACTGAGTAGGCAATTCAGGAGTAAAGTCCTCTCTCGACGTACGAAAACCACGCTCTATAAGTCACTCATCATGCCCGTGCTGGTATATGGCGCAGAAGCATGGACAATGACAACATCCGATGAGGCGGCTCTTGGGGTGTTTGAGAGAAAGATTTTGCGGAAGATTTACGGTCCTTTACGCGTTGGCGACGGCGAGTACCGCAGACGATGGAACGATGAGCTATATGAGCTTTACAACGATATGGACATAGTGCAGCGAATTAAAATACAGCGGCTCCGCTGGCTTGGTCATGTCGTTCGAATGGACACCGACGCTCCAGCTCTGAAAGTATTCAACTCGGAAC